TATACTGGTCCCGTTATTTTTGCTCGATTGTTTGAATGTGTATTTATATGTGTTAGCGTCTTTATGCAATACGGTTCCTAAATAATAATTGTCAAAGTTTTAATCTCAGGTCCTGATCCTTAAGACCTAATGACCCAAGAGAAAGCCATGACTGAGACTCCGTAGATCCTTAAACAAGTATGGTTGAGATAATGAGATATGAGCTTGTAAGTATGAAAATCAAGTTACGAAACCGGAACTTTCAGTCTAGGGTCATTCACGTTTAACCCTCCAAGGAAAGGCAAGACTGGGGTTGCGTAATCTTACATGTCTGGTTGGGTTAATGAGCTTACTGCAACATTTTGGAAGAATTTGAGTAAAATTAGAACCATCACTGAGCAGACGAATTGAGTCAACTTCTTTTTGACGGCAGCTCAACACCCTCTCTGTCTTTCAATCTATCAATTAAGCATAAGCAATTCCTACTCGACTTTCTACCTTTGTTCCTCACATTAAACGTATTTCCTAAGCTATTAATTTCAATAGCTTCTCTTATCTTTCTTTCAACTATAATCAGCAAACCTACTAGTTTAAGACCATTCTATTTCATGTCCAGTTTCTACCATGTGTTTGGCCACTTCTGACCGTTGGATCCTTTGCAAGCATTTTTGTGTTCTACCAATTTTTGTCGAATAGGTCTGCATGTCTCACCAACATAACATCGATCACATGAGCAAACAATCTTGTAGCAGCCGGGTCTCGATAATGGGTCATATTTCTCTCTAAAAGATGGCATAACAGAAGAAAGTGTGAGGGTTTCTTTGAACATTGTTTTAATGCCCCACTTCTTTACTAATTCGCCTATCTTTATTGAGAGAAGGCATGACGGCAAAATTATGACATGGAAAATGGTCACAGTCTGTCTATCTTTGACTAAATGGTTTCGTCTGAAAATGTATTCCTCAGTAGAGAGATATTATTCTCAATAAGACCCACAGGATAATTATTTTCCAGGAATATATTTGTCAGCCGTCGCTACTCTTTAGTCAAATGTTTGCCTTCCTCTATACTCATGCTTCTAAGAACGATTGACTTCAAAATTCCAACCTTAGTCTTGTAACTATGGTTGGAAAGAAAATTAAGCAGAGCCAACATATGTTGGCTTCCTATAAATATCTCTTTCTAACTAACCCTTTTCTCTAATGATGAGAACATTCAGAAAAGGTAAGGACTTATTCTCTTCCATTTCCATCGTTAACCTAATGTTCTTTTTACGCTAGTTAAGTGAAAATAAGAAACTATCTTAATTGTCCTTACCATGAGGCCAGATGACAAAATAGTCATCCATGCATCTAACCAACAATTTGGGTGTTAGTATTGCTTTTTATAGGAAGTGTTCCTCAAATCTTGCCATATAATTGTTTGCTAAGATGGGAGATAGGCAAGATCCCATCGCTAATCCTTGCGTTTGTTTGTATAACTTACCACCAAAGGTAAAATATGTGGTACTCATGGATAGGTTAATAGGTCTAATAATGGAAGTTACACTCATCCTTATTCCTTGTTTTGTTTCTGGATGTTCCTCTAGAGTTTGTATAAAGAGATTCATCGAAACCCAGTTTCTCTTCGTATCTATACTTTTATATCATCAGGACTAAGCACATCCATGAATACTCATATCTAGGCGTAATGCTTCTGCTGAAGATATGACCAATCAGGAAAATAAATGTAATTCATGCCAGCCGAACTCATTTTTACTAAGTATCAGCGTTGGAAAAACTGTATACCTGGACTTATGCACATACATCGGTTTCTCAATTAAGCTAAATGAAATCCAGTTCATTTACCTCTTTGGCTGTAAACCATGCATTTTCTGGAGGACGTATGCTTGGGCCAAGCTGATATCCATTGATATGGTCGTATAGCTGAGTTGAAGAAGGGCAAGAGGTGAGAGCAAGAAGAAAAGATCTGCTTTAAAACCTGAAATTTCAAGAAAGGCTATTAAAAATAAGTAATGACTTTTAAACTATGAAATATTTTTAAAAAACCATAGAGGAGATAATCTGGAGCTCAAAAAGGTGAATTTATATATATTCATTTTTATAATTTAAATTTTTTTAAAGTGTCGCTTAAACTGAGGAATATATTATTGGAGTAAAAACTTAGTAACTATAGCTTGCTTAAGATGATTTCAGGGCCATTAGTTGAGTTTTCCAATATCGCGATGATGATTCCGAAGAAGCTCTCTTCCAGGGTAGGCTGCAGTTTCGACCTCGCTTGGTCCCATCAGCAGCCCCAGCGTGATTAAGTCCCGGATGCGGAGTATCATGGCGCCGTTTAGTGGAATGGTAAACGTCGCCCCAATACTCCAGACCTGGTGCCGAATCCCGCCGGGGTTGCTGATGAGCCATAGGCGAGGTTAAAACTGCAGTCGCTCTGGAAAAGACAGCAATTTTGTAGCCAAAGCTAAGGGAAACTTAATGGAATCAAGAGGCTTACTTATCTCATTGAGGGGTACAATCCAACTATCTTTCCTCGAATCAGAGGACTAGGCTCTTATTCAAGAATTACCGACAGTCTCGAAAAAGTATTCACCTCAGAATGAATATTTTTTAGAGTTCTTGTGGGACTCGAGCGTAGCCAAAGATAATTCAATGCCCATCCCCTTTGGATCAAAGGGCGACTTGTTATTATTTAGAGCCAATGACTAAAATTTCCAGTTTTAAAATGCATCTTTTAGGATAAAACAGAGCAAGATCGTCCTGGAGGTGCATTGTGTTTATGAGCCACGCAGTGGGGCATTTGTAACATTGATCGACAATATCTCGGCAAGAGCATTTATCATCTGGATTTTGCAGCCACCTCTCCGATAGTGACAGATTGTTCATTTGGCTCGCTAGTCTCGTGAAAAAATCCGTGAGGGCTTTCATGTTGCTCGGGAAAACCACAGGGCCCATTAAGTAGTTGTCCAAGAGGCATGTGTCTAGCAGGTGTGGAAAGGATGTCATTCAATTTGATACAATTAAGGATATCATCCAAGACTTTTGCGCAACTTATACTAAACAGGCCAAGTAGGCTCTTATCGATCAATACATCAAGCCAAAGGAATGGAATCAAATTGGATACATTATGCTTTCATCATTCGCACCAGAAGCGCTAACACAAGTGGTGTATGATCCTGCCATTTTAAGGATCAGTCTAATGAAGATGCAAACGATGGAATTGTAAGACAACAGATATAGACGCTAAATAGCAATGAGTCTTCCGAATACCATGAGTGCAGTGTCAATCGCCCCGAAATTGAAGGTTCGGGGCTCGAGAAAGTTTAGGAAAAAAAAGCAGACCACTGAACGCCTGAGTATGCTGAAGCAAGAAATCAAGATCACTGAGCATACAATTAAAGTAGACGAGCTCTGTAAACTGCTGAATACCAACTGTTCTGATGGCATTTCGTCAGAGGAGGCCGAGAAGCGACTGCTCCAATTTGGTCCAAACGCACTCAGCCCCCCTTCAGAAGAGCCGGCCTGGATGAAGCTACTGAAATGCATGATCGGCGGCTTCTCACTTCTACTTTGGACTGGCGCTGGTCTTTGCTTTGTTTCATATGCCATCCAATCGAGCACCACCAGCTCAATGAGCCACGACAACCTCTACTTGGGCGTGGTGTTGACAAGTGTCGTCTTCATTAGTGGCTGCTTCACGTACTATCAGGAGGCCAAATCTTCGCGAATAATGGACTCTTTCAAAAAGATGGTGCCTGTCCTGGCAAAGGTGATTCGAGATGGACACAAGAAAATTGTTCCGGCTGAGCATCTCGTGGTTGGTGATCTGGTGGAGGTATCCGCCGGCGATCACATTCCAGCGGATATTCGGCTAGTCGAGGCCAGCTGTCTGAAGGTGGACAATTCGTCGCTTACTGGCGAGTCAGAGCCTCAGGTTCGCAATTCGGAATGCTCCCACGAAGATGCCCTAGAAGCCCGTAACCTCGTCTTCTATTCAACCAACGCTGTAGAGGGGAGCGGTCGCGGTATCGTGGTGTACACGGGCGAAGCAACAGTAATCGGCCGGATAGCCTGTCTGACTAGCAACTTGGAGGCAGAGGTCACCTCATTAGGTCTTGAGTTGCAACATTTCATTCGCGTCATTACGGCGGTAGCTTTTTCAGTCGGCATAGCCTGCCTGATTGCGGCCCTCTTCATGGAGTACAGCACGATTGAGGCTGTCCTCTTTTTGATCGGCATCATCGTTGCCCAGGTTCCAGAAGGCCTCCTGCCGACAATCACAGTATCACTTGCTCTCACAGCGCGCAGGATGGCCAGTAAGAACTGTTTGGTACGAAACCTCGAGGCTGTAGAGACCCTCGGGTCAACCAGTGTGATCTGTTCTGACAAGACGGGCACCCTCACACAGAACCGGATGAGCGTGGCACACATTTGGCTCAACGGTACCTTGTACAGCGAGGACAACGATATATTCTATGAGCCGTACAACCCTGTGGCCAATAACGGCTGGACTCTCTTGGGACGTGTGATGATGTTATGCAATCGGGCGGAGTTTGTGGTAGGTGATCGTTGGGCTGAGTGTCAAGTCATCGGGTTGCCTAGTGCATGCATGATCTCGCTTGCATATATGGAGCTCATTATCATTATGTGAAATGATGGCTCATTAACGCAGATACATGATTATGGGCACATAATGTATACATTTAAAAGTGAGTTTAGAAAGCTCTCGCAGTTGCCCATACGATTCAAATATTAGGCGTCAACCAACCAATTTAAAAGTCTCTCTTATCTGATGTGATCGCTTGTAACATGATAAAACAGGGCTCCATATTAAATTGGTGCCCGTGAAATGCAAATGCGGATGAAAAAAATATTTTAACTTAAACCAACGACATGAATAGTATGATGCATTTGCAATAGTAAACAATTTTAAAATACTTGCTAAAGATTTTGCAGATATAATAATACCGAAAGGCCCTCAGAAGGAAGTCATACTCCTATTATGCCTTTTGCTGTGTAAGTAGGAGTGCTTGAAAAAGTGAGAGCTATACAAGTTATTCCGCGTAATTCTGATGCTTTACTCTTTCAACTTTTCCAAGGTACAAGCATTGCCCAAAACGAATTTGAAACTTGGGTCAATATGTTTATATGTTCATACGTATATTGTAGTCTTGTGATCTTTAAACTGCGTGCAAAAAAGTAATTATGCGTTTTATTGGGATGACTTTAGCATAATGCAAAATATTGTCCAGTTCATTAGAATATCATGACTTAATTATTTGATCTCATTGGAACGCCCAGGCTCTAGCATTCGTCAAAACGACCCCTATTAATTGTAGCTAAAATATGCTTAATATTCGTTTGTCATGTGAACGACATCATCAGGTTTATACATCCTTCCTAAAATATTGAAACTAACGCAAAGTTGAGGCTTCGTAACAGACTAAAGCTCAATACATTTTACCCAGAAACAAAAGAATGTCTTGATGACTGCGGTAGCTTGGACTTATTGATAAAATTAATCAAAAGCTGGCCTTCCAGCGAGATATACTTGAGAAAAGTTTCATCACACACGCCCACACAAAGTAAAAGTTAATCGAATAATCAAATAGTAGAGGAGCAATAGAAACCCAAGTTTTCTTAATTAGTTCACTTGTATCTAGGCCTAAGACAAGATCGAAACTACAAGCCTATTCGAATTGTAAAACGCTTCGATATGTGCTAAGGTGAGATTCTTTTGCAAAATAAAATATCAAGTGAGAATAGTTGAAAGCTGTATACTAGATTACCAGGATATTAATGAGTCATAAAGATTATATGACTTTCAAGCCAAGACCAGCCAACTCAAACTTTGGGTGTGGATAGGTGTCAGCATTTGCTAATAGAATGTTTTTTAATAACACCTCTTTAAATTATAAACAATTAGTAGTCGATCAATATACTATATAAATAGGACCAAAACCAATCCTTCAATCACTAATAGCAAATAAAATTTATTATATACAATAATTTAGCGAATTATGGTGTATAACCTCAGATATATAATTTGCAACTGCAACAACATGAAATAATGTAAAAATGCATAATAGTCTAAAAAGTAAATTAAAATGATGAGTCTAGCCCTCTCCAGAAATTCATAAAATACCAAATGCGATACAGTGATAAATCCTCGTACATAATAAATATATTTTTACTTCTAATTAATGATGAAGTGCCCAATAAAGTAAGTTAAAATGTGTATTAATCTTCAAAACTTTGCATAAATATAACGAAGTTAAGTTCCCTCTCTGATATGTTTAGTGCGACCACATTTACATACAGAATTCGGCCGCATAGTAAAAATGCACCATAAGTAAAAATCAAAAGTAAGCATGTTAATTCTTAGGCCATTGACAGGCGTTAAATTCGATCGAACAGTTAGAGTTAGGTTAGAAATGGCAAATGCATTTATAAGGACAATTGCGCCCAGCAGTAATTTCGATTAAGATGGCGATCAAAAGCCTAGGAGTATATTAAGTTACAGTTGGGCGACGAAAATGTGATTTCAGCAGTATTCTTTGAGATTGTACCAGGCCGAAAAAATGGGTTAAGCAAATAAATTTGGCGCTTTTATTCAATGAAGTCGTGCACAATTGAGCATTATATGCATTGTAATGTAAATATTAGAAAATTTCTTTTCGTTTTTCAGTGTTTTATGACGATTCAACTTCGCTAATTCATCAAGTCTTTTGTGAACTTATGAACTATAGGACAAAGAGTAAATTTATTTAGAAACTATTTACCAAATAGCAAGAGAGATAGAAGGAACTTGCTTAGGCAACCAGCCAAAGGATGCAAAGGCGCATTAAACCTTTGTATTCCTGTCATTCAACTCTATAAGGAAACGGCGCCCACAAGCCGCTACATTTTCGTTAGAATCTTTCGAAGATTGCTTTGCTCAGAAAGTGTCCATTTAGTCTAGGCCTTTTACATGCAACGTTTTATGATATTATATTAATTGATTTATATTTATTTTAAAGTGGCTGGGATCTAACCAAAGAATTGTGTATTTAGAAAAAATCTCATGCTTGAATTATGCTCTAATTGGCAGGCTTAAATACAAAGGATAATCTGCACATGAAAATTCAGAAAGGAATAAATAGAGGAAAGTTTTAGATAATATTTAAATATGGACTAAATCAACATAAGTGATTAAAGGCGATATAATGACTGATAGTGGAATTTGCCAACATAGATATAAGAAGAACTCGCGACTCGAAATAGGATCGAGAAAATCGAGTATTATTACGCTGTAATTATTGATAATCTCGAAGCAAACTGACTCCAAAAATAAGTAGTATGTCGAAAGTGGTTGCGATATTTGCCTCATCGATATTGTATTGTTAAAGGTAATTTGGGAGAGGCCTGGATTTTCTCGAAAAGCATATCTCCACTTTAACCCAATGGCACATCTGACTGCGTAGCAGAGTGATAACGTGTCGACACGATGTGCATGGCCACATTTTGACTTTTATTGGATGCATGAGAAAGGCTTCGGGAGGCGAGGCTAAGTGAAATTTAAGTTAATGGCGAGACCTACTCATATCATTATGGAAGCTTCCACCATAAGTTCTTAAATCATAAAGGATAAATAAATTATTATTTAAGAATTAATGATAATTTCAAGCCAATTCGAGTCATGTCGGAACCAAGCATTTAGCTGATAAATCGAATTCGCCAAAGTAGTTCGAAGAAGATTCTAAGCTACTTTGGATGAGACTACTTTCCGAGCAAAAGGTTGTCTTTACAAGCACAAAAGCTTACTCGAGACTATTAATTACAGTATAAACCTCGATCATACTTAGCCATATGTAAATAGGCCAGAAGGGATATCGGTAATGAGCCTGAGAGAACTAAAATGTTCATATCAACTCATCATTGGAAGTTTGCTTTGGATAAGAAAAGGATTGTGGAAAGCGAAGTACATTAATAATTGAAACAAATGTGTATCGCTTTTGGGAGAAGCTAGGCAAAGGGATGCTACAAAGCTCATAATTTGAGATATTTGCAATGCATCTCTTAATCTTTTCGAATTGCTTTCTCATTAATCCAAATCAGTGCATGCGCCGACATGATCAAGACCAGCTGGCACAAAAATTGCTTATTTAACTTATTTCCATTTCAAGTTAAGGTATTCGGTAAAGAGATTCGAAGGTCAAACCCACCAGAAGACGATAATGGATTCTTCTTGACCAGCTTTCGATTGGCTTTAGTGGAGCACTCTAGTTGATGTTATTTCTGAGGCAATCTCCTTCAATTCCGGTAAAAACGTGCTAAGCTTACGTCCGTCGAGAATAAACACAAGACCAGAGTCTTGCATTTGCTAAGACTGATGATGCTAGATGTGATAGAACCCAGTGACTGAGAAATTAGGAGAACATGTGCGAATTAAGCAAGTGAGAAAGGGGGTTAGAATTAGTCCTATAAGCTGACCGAGATGGAAATCAGGCTAGTTTAATCATGGCATAGATCGGCTGTGAATGGATAAATTAGATGGTTTTAAGTGATTATTATGTACAGTCAACCTGAGGTAGTAAAGTATCAATCCTATTTAAAGACTTAAAAATTAATGTCCTCATCACCGACGATAGAACTCAAGAACAGAAGAGCAAGCCTATAACAACGATCCACTCTTGTAATGATTTAGCGGGTGAAAGCCCTTCCTGCTACTCAAATCACCCAGCAGACGTGCCAAAATTATCGATATATAATCAAAGGGTAAACTTGTTCAACTAACCTTTGAGTTATGTGACATGTATTCACCATATTTCGTTTAAGGTGATGAAGGACTGGTAGTAGAATTTTCCCAAAATGATATGAGTTGACCTGACGTTCCATTGAATTTAATATAGCCTTGCTTTTCCCAAGGGTGTTCTCATCCAGAGTGGACTAGAGTTTCGACCTCGCCTAGGTCTTATCAAAACACCCTCAGCGGGAGTCGAACCGTGATAGTCCAGCATGTGAGTTTCAAGGAAGACCAGGCCTTATTCCGTATCACATTATTTGGTGGGATTGTCGATGAAGCAAACGCATTTTTGCTATAACAATAAACTACAATACTTATTTTTAGCATATACAAGCAGTGTCTCTAGACTACCAGTGAATCAGTAATATGAGATGTATTCACCCAATTTCGTTTAAGGTGATGAAGGACTGGTAGTGTAATTTTTCCACAATAATATGAGTAGAACTGACGTTTCCATTGAATTTCACATAGCCTTGCTTTCCCAGAAGTTGTTCACATCCAGTATGGACTACAGTGTCGAGCTCTTATCAACACCCCCAGCGTGAGTCGAACCGTGACAATGCATAATGTGAGCTTGACGCGTTAACCACTCGGCCACACATTGCCACGAGTGCCCTTGGATCACGGAGCAGATGTGAATTTCAAGGATGGACAGGCCTTATCCCATATCACATTCTTTGGTGGGATTGTCGATGAAGCAAATGTATTTTGCTACAACAATCGACTAACTTACTTAGTTTTCGTATGTAAGGAGAGTTTCGAGACTAACGGTAAATCAGTAATATGAGATGTATTCTACTACCAGTCCTTCATCATCTTAAATGAAATAGGGTGAAGGAAAGATAGGTAATACAGCATAAAGAAAC